TCTAATCAGGCTTTTAAAAGGAGATAAGACAGCAACGATGACCAGAAGAAATTTCCATCACAGAAGGAAAAACTCTGACTCTGCAGCTTAACTGTATAAAACATAATAGACTGCATGGAATATAATAAAAATGTTTAAAGATTATACATATTATAGATAGATTATATAACACAACACCAGCAGTTCTCATTGAAAATATCAGGAAGTAGTTTTTAAGCAAACAAAGGGTGACAACTTCTCCATACAGATAATTAAGCTGTAGAATTCATTTTCACCAAGTTCTGAAACAAGCATATAAGTAGGTTTAAAATGGGACTGCAAATAACTGTGACAGATTCCTTATTGCCAGGGAATAAATCCAGCAGTATGCATCAGCCACTGCCTCAGGAAGTCACTAAATGAACCATTCTATGCATACCCTTCTCCTTACGTATGTTCTCAGGTATTCATTGCTGAATACTGCCAATATACAATATTACCGTAGTGAAATCTTAGTGCCTTCTAGCATGGGAAGTCCTTATTGTGATTGGAGATTAACACCATTACATAACATTCCAAGATTCATGCAAAAGAAAGATATAAACCCCAAGTCAAACCCTTAGGCACAAGACCACCACATCCTAATGAGGAACAACCTGAATACACCTTTTACAAAATATATGCCTTATAAATCTGAAGAACTAAAATGCTGACTGATAAGCATCAAAGACAGCTGCTTCAGGGGTCAGCTAAGAATTTCTACTCTTTAAGGATGAACATAGGGAAATATCTCAAATGCTGCTGATAAAACATGATGAAGTACACATGTGCTGAAGATAGACGTATTCTTCATCAAGACAAGATATGCATGACCACTCTCAATATCAGAATGATCACAGAAATTGGGAGAGGTGCCTAACAACTGCGGGAAAGAAAATGTCACTTCCATCTTGAAGATGCATAAAGATCTACAGAACCACAGACTGGCCAGACTAATCTCTGGCAAAGTGATGGTACAACTAATCCTGGGAACTATTTCTAGGAACATGAAATACAAAGAAGTGATCAGGAGTCAGCAGGCATTCACCAAGGGAAAGTCACACTTGACCAATGTAATGACCTTCTACAATGAAATGACCACAATGAGGGGAGAGCAGTGAATATTGTCTATCTTGTCTCCAATAAGGCTTTTCTCATTGTCTCCCATAGCACCCTCCTAGAGAAGCTGATGAAGTACAGACTGGATGAGCAGATTTTGAAGTAGACTGAGATCTGGCTGAATGGCTGGGCCCAGAGCAGGGAAATGAATGTCTAGTTGGAGGCCAGGTCCTAGAAGTTTATCCCAGGGGTTAATATTGAGTCCAGTGCTGTTCAATAACTTACTGATGTAGATGATGGGGCAGTGGGTACTTTCAGCCAGTTTGTGAATGACACTAAACCGGGAGGAGTGGCTGATACACCAGAAGGTCACTTTGCCATCCAGAGGGACCTTAACAGGCTGGAGAAACAGGCTGACCAGAATCTCACAATGTTCAGCAAAGCAAAATGCAAAGTCCTGCACCTGGGGAGGAAGCAGACACCAGTGCAGGCTGGGAACTGCCCAGCTGGAGAGCAGCTCTGCAGAAAAGCACCTGGAAGTCCTGGTGCACACCAGGTTGAACATGGGCCAGCACGCCTTGAGGAAAGAGAAGTGAATGGCATTCTGGGCTGTATTAGGCAAAAACATTACCATGAGGCAGAAGGAGGTGATCCTACCCTTCATTCAACACTGGTGAAGCCACACCTGGAGTTCTGTGTCCAGCCTCCCCAGCTAAAGAGAAACATGGGCATACTGGAGATAGTCCAGTAAAAGGCCAAAAAGATAAGGACTGAAGCATCTCTCACCTGAGAGCAGACAGAGAGCTTGAACTTTTTATCCTGGAGAAGAAAAAGTTCAGGGAGAAGATCTTACCAATAAATACAAATACCTGAAGGAAATGTGCAAATAGAATGGATCCAGGCTCTTTTCAGCAGTGTCCAGTGACAGGATCAGAGGCACAAACTGAAGCACAAACTGAAGCACAGGAAGCTCCCTTTGAGCAGAGAGAAACACCTTTCATTCTAGGGGTGACCAAGCTCGGGCACATGTATCTCTTGTCCAAAGATTTTCTAGAGTCTCCATCCCTAAATATATTCAAAATCCAGCTACACATAGTTTTGAACAGTGCCCCTAGGTGACCCACATGAGAAGAAGGGTTGGGCAAGATGACCTCCAGAAGTCTCTTCCAACCTCAATCATTCTGTCATTTTGTGGTACAGAACTCGTGTCCAAGAGCATCAGACTAATCCTACCGCTGCCCATAAGGACACATGGTCACTAGTTCTACAGAAATACCTTTTCCAGAGCAAAAGTGAAATCTGTAACATGATACCTTGTTTTCAGACACTACTAACTCCTATTCTGCTGTTGTTCGTCCCATTTTATCCTCCCCAGATTCACTGTAAATAAGCTTTTTCATCAGCAAAGGTGGACAATCAGGTATATCTCAAAATTCGACTCAGATACTGCCAGTGATTTCAAGTGGAAAATGCCACAATATGCATGAACAGTGGTAAAAATTTCTACACACATTTATTCTCCTCCCTAGTATCTCACAGTGTTCTCCAGTACAACACTTATTTGCAGGCCATTAATGTCAGAAAAATGAATAACATTTAAAAGTTGCACCATTAGTATTTCTGTTCAATTTTCTCCCTGAATGTTTAGAATAATCATGAGAACAAATCCCAATAATTAATACATTAATGAAATTATCACATATAAGTTGTGCTTTTAAAAGTCATTTAGTCCATTCTCTTGTTCCAACACAGGACCAGCTACACTTGTGTCTCTTCTAACAGGTATTTACTAAACCTGCTCCTTAAGATTTTCACAGCTTCCAAACAAGTCCTAAACAAAGTATGCAAGCATTTTAATTTTTCTTTCCATTAAAAGGTTCTCCCTACCCAATTCAGTCCTCCCTAATGCAACTTAAGTTCACTCCTTTCAGCTTCACCTTGAGATGAACATACTGAAGTGATAATTTCCTTTCACTTGTCTATCTCCTTCACTCCCAGGGATTTTCCCTTTAGAAGGCTAAATTAACTCATGTGTTTGATTGTTTCCTAGCACATATTATGGCTTTTAGACACCTAATTATTCATTCCTATTACTCTCCAATGAATTACAACTGCTCCACATAATTTTTGAAGGGTATGCTATTCCAGGTGAAACCTTACCAAAGCCTAGCAGTGGGAAAACATCTTCACAGCACTTCTGACTAGTATCTGTGCATTCCTGTATGACATTAATCTCTTTCAGGATACTGGCTACAGCTCAGCTTATATACTATTAGGTTTCCCTGATTCTCTGCCAAAGAACATTACCATACACAATTTTTCTTTGTCCTATGTCAACCACATAAACTACCCCTACAAAACACTACCTTGCATTTCTCCTTCTGATTAGCATCATAACCATAGCCTGGAGTTTTCAGGATAATTTTTTAATATAATCCTGCCATGAGGTGTTAACACAAGACTGGGAGAAGTGCATCTATAAATTCAGTGAGTATACTAATTAATTTCTTAGTTATATAATAAAAACACTGAACAAAACTGGTTCCCAAAGATGTCACCATTCGAAAAGATCCTTCAATTTATTAATATTTTTTGTTAACTATAACTCGTCTGTTTACACTGGTCATATCGTATTTTATGTTTCTTGAAAGCCATATGCTTCATATTTACACCAGTGAGCAGAACAACATTTGCTGTAAGGAAACTGGGAATACAAAGTAATGATGTGTTGTGAACAAAATGTAATATTGCCAGTATCTAATAATAAGCCCAAAAAAAATTAATTACTATTAACATGTACACAATTTTATAAGCAGTTAAGTGAGAATATCAGAAAGAGAGCTCAGAATAATACATTGATTTACAGAATATCACTTTTATGTCCTATTTTTCCATTTAATTAGTGAAGTTTTTTCACCATGTATTCTCAAAAAGCATCATTGCTTTCATGTCCCACAAGTATGAAGGTACACTTAAATACATGTATTAAAAAATAAACAAAAATTGATTCTGCCTGGAAAGTAATTAGTAAGTTAGCATGCTTTAAACCAGTTATGCATGAGTTCAAAAGCAAACATTTCTTTTATCACACAAGCTTACAAAGCATAAACCTCTGGAAGACAGAAGAGAGAGCAACTTAACTGTTTAAAGCTTAAATAACACCCAAAATATATTTTAGCTATTTGAAAATTTATAATAAATATTTTTTGTTTCTCTTTATTAAAGGAATATTTTCCCTCCATGCTTTAAGTTCTACTCTAAGACACAATGTCCTAGCTTTGCCAGTTTCTGTTAAAAATTAAGATTTTCAGATAGAAAAAAAAATCATATAAAAGGTTCACAGATGAAATACTGTGTCCATCAAAGTCAAAATTTCCTCAGCTTTGATTGACGCAAGATTTCACCTTATATCTGCTGAAGTTCTGAAACTTTACAGATATTCTAAAAGCATGAAAAAAAGGACATGATATTTACCTGATCCTTAGAAAGACCTTCTGACATATTATGTAGATTCATATAGCATTCTATGCATAACTCAGACCATGCATGTGCATAGATATGCTATAAATAATGCTACATGTCTTATCATTCCAGCTCCTCATGCACAGAAAACAAATCACTTCAACAGAAGTTTCATTATAAGGAACATTTGCCAAAAAAAAAAAAATCAACAAAACACAGAGTAATAGCAGCTCCTTACATTGCACTCTAATGCACTCTAATCACTTAAGATACTGATAAAGAGAGTAAGACTTGATTTTCAGTTTTCCCTTTGCAAATGAGGGGTTGGAAGGCAAATGGTGCTCAATTTGTAAAATGCCCTCACCTGTATGTTCTAAAGGGGCAATTATTTTAATTACACTCTCCAGGATGTTCTAATGCTATATAGATGTTACTTAATCTACAGAGAGCAGCTTACTTACGTCTGGGGCTCCTTTTCATTTTGCTGTTTTTGCTGTGGTTGAAGAACGTTATTTACCAGCTCAGTGATCCCACTAAAGGGAAACCACCTGTTTAAACAAGCAAATAATGTGACTGAAAAACCAATAAAACCACACTAGTGTAAATGTTTTCTTATCCAACGTTAGTAGAAATACACAGGCAGAAAAGCTAGAGCCAATGGGAATGTGAGCTACAGAACTAAGTCAGCCACTAAGGGTGTAAGGGAAGTAAAGTTCTACAATTCACCAGTTCACAAGCAGGCAGCAAGAACCTACATCCAGCTAACGTGTGGATGGAGTAAGAAGCTACAGGCAGCTCTCTTACAAGCCAGTCAGGAAGCAGATGACAAACTACCTGCAGCCTATCAGGTATCAGTGAAAGCTAATACCATCAAAGGTGCAGAGAGCAGAACATGGCAAAGGTAGAAAAGTCAAGCCTATTGCATCTTGAAGATACTTTACTTACTGTGTCGGCTGTGGTTTTTGCTCTTCTTTGACCCTAAAAAGATAAGTTTGCACAACTGAGTGCAACATGTTGAAAACAACTACCCTGAAGTACTAAAATCTGTATCAAATGGGAAGGGAAAAGTTCCTATTTTCAGTTAAAAGGATTTGCTTTAACATTTGTTGTATGTTTAAGTTGTACTATGGGCTTATTTCCATTTAGTTTTAAAAGTGGGGAGTGCCAAGTATAGAAAAATTTAATATGTTAATATTTAGTTAAAACTGAAAATTAAATTGGTAATGTTCTTTACCTGACTTTCAATTTTTTTGCACATAATACCATATTAAAACATTTCCAGCAATACATTCAGCTACAAATACAAAGGAAGGTGCTTTGATTATGTGAACTACAATCTATTTCTTTTTTATTCACAACCAAAATGCCTGTCATAGTTCAAGACAAATTTTTAATATGTAATATGCCATTTAAAATGCAATATACTAAATTAATAGATTAAAGGAAAATCTGCATTATAATTATTAAACTACAGTGATGTCAGGACTTGTAGACAACATAACTAAAATCTAAGGAAGGAAAGCTAAGGAATTTTACTCATCAGTGAACTTTACTAGGACTTACTCAAAGAAATAACTGGATAATACTTATAGTAGGTCTGTTCAGTACTGATTAATAGTTCTCCACTCTCTTAAGGAAAACATTCCATCTAAAATACATGCTTTAACTTAAATGAGCAAGCTGGTGTTCTATACCAAACCAATGCTGGTTTCAGCGGTGGTAGAGTTAATTTTCTTCACAGTAGCTGACATGGGGCTGTGGTTTGACTTTGTGCTGAACAGGGTTGATAATATATAGATGTTTTTGCTGTTGCTGAGCAGGGCTTGCACAGAGCCAAGGCCTTTTCTTCTTTTCCAACTGCCACCCAGGTGAGGAACTTGGGGGTGCATGGGAGGTTGGGAGGAGACAGAGCCAGAACAGGAGACCCAAACTGACCAAAAGGATAGTCCAGACAATGTGGCATCCTGCTCAGTAAATAAAGTTGGGAGTGGTAGGAGGAGGGTGGGAGGGGGCGTATGGAGTAATGCCATTTGCCTTCCCAAGTCACTGCTGCACCTGATGGGGCCCTGCTCTCCTGGAGATGGATGAACACCTGCCTGCCCGTGGAAAACAGTGAATTCATTTCTTGATTTGATTTGCTTGTGTGAGTAGCTTCTACTTTCCCTATTAAACTGTCATTATTTCAACCCACAAATTTTCTGTCTTTTACCCTTCTCATTCTCTCTGTGCTCCTACTGGTGAGGGAATGAATGAGCAGCTGCCTGGGCTTTGTTTCCTGACTGGGGTTAAACCATGACAAAACACAAGAATAGAGACATTTACCCACAGGAATATTTACATCCTCTAATTGAAGGTATAGGTCTTAAATATCAAGTTAGGATCTACTTTCCCTTTATGTTCAAAAACCCAAAAAGGTTTCTATAGAGATACTCTGAATATCTCTATAGAGAATACTCTCACCTAACTAAACAGGAGGCACAGGCTCACAATTTTAAGTGGATGCTTAGTGTTGCACAGAAAAATAAAGCTCACCAAAATACCTCCATATCTCGTCCACCATATGATATCACAGGAAGTAACTCCCTAAACAGGACTCAGTGGCTACATGAGATTTAAATAAGTGGACAATGAGAAACACTAATATCTCTCCAAAACTGAGTACCCAAAGGGAAAACTGAACATGCAACACACAGTAAAATGTGTTTTGCCTCTTCAGCACTTTAGAAATGTATATAAAAAATAACATTCCAGTACAAAAAACTAAATAAATAAATAAACAAGGCCCACAAAATCAAGCAGGTATATTAAACAAAAAAAAAGAAAAAATAAAGTAAAAATAAAAATGTCACATGCCATTGTAATTCCACTCTACCATGCATCTTAATCATATTATTATCTTTAATCAAGATAATCCACACTTGTTTTTCAATGCAAAAAATTCAAAGCAGGAGAAAAGGGAGGGATGAGAAATCAAAGCATGTCCATACTTTTCTTGCTAGGTAGCTCAGGATATTTAATTTAGATCCCCAACATTATGACAGGATAACTTAAGGCTCCATGGTCAGCTGTGAGAAGGAAATTCCCAGATAATAATTCAGATAATAATTCAGTTGCCTACACAGAACTAGACACTGAAATATGACCTCCCTGACAACTAGACATTTAAAACTGAATATATCACTAATCTATGTATTCCTTTCCATACATGATTTCCAAACATACATACTCAAATCTTTTAAGTTATTACTTCATTGTGAATTGTTCTATTAAACTAAAGAAAGAAAATATGAGCACTTCACATAATCAGATTACAACCAGCATCTTTTCTTTCGATAGAGGCCATGGTCAATCCTCTTTCACATGTGGAATTGAGAACAAATTATTGTAAGATCCTAGGTGTGTAGTTTGAAATCTTTGGTGCATTGTTTTTCAACAAGATCCAGCATATTTACGTTATAATATGTATATGGTGGCTTCAGTTGCAGCTGCAAAGTCTTGGAATTTTTTAATATCTTACAATCAATTTTAAGTTTTGTATCATTAAATAAAATGCATTGTCCATTATAAGACATGTTGAAAACCTGCATTGAAAATTAATTTTTCAGCATTTTATAGGAACACTGTGTTCTAAGTCAGGATATGATATGACCCTACAATTCAAAATATCTCTCTTACAAATTAATCTTTTCACCTCCTAGAATTCTGTCTCATTCACTCTCACTTTCCAACACTGCAGTTATGTGAGGACAAGAGCTTCCATTATTATATAACAGTGACGCATTCCTTGAGCACTCTCCATACATCCTCCAGTCCCTGGATTAGGAAATTATCTTCCTTGGCTTTATAACGAGCATAGGAAACAAACTACAAATTGAAAATAAATTATTAAGAAAACTATTGAATTAATAGATTCTACCATATGATTTTAAATTAATATTTACCTTGTGGATCAACAGGCCTGAACCCTTCAGGTGTACAGCCAGGTATTTATCTTTCAAGGTCAGAGAATGGATACAGATTCTGGATCTAAATCCAAAAACCACTGACTAGTTTCTGCTTCTTTTTTTCCAAAAGACTTCATTCAGATAAAATTACAAGTTGTAGCAACTGATAGAAATAATTATATATTGGATGAAATGCGCTGAAAGTATTTTTAGCATTGCTGTGGTTTAAATATCTTTTTCTAGACAGAAACGGACAAAAGAGAATCCAGATAACTTGAACCCTGTCTACATGTACACATACAGTTCTATTTCCTTTGGTTACAAGAGCTGTTTTGTGTTTCACTGGATTTTGTACTCCCATATTTATGCATTGCTTTCTACCCTCCTTTCAAAAATCAGCAACAAACAATTGCTTAAAAGAAGTATCTTGCCATGTCACCAAACCCCCAGACTTCCATTTTCACAACAGACCGACTGAAATACCCCAAGCAGTATAACCACATACTGCTCCTTCCAGGCTACACGTCTTCATTTAACCTTCCTATGTCTTTTCAGCTCTATCCACCCAAAACTCTGCCAAGAACAGTGTCAGTTCTCATTATTCACTAGAAACAAATTCTGATCTAAAAACACCAACAGGCTGCAGATAATGTGTCTGATCAACAGTAACTGAGACAATGTATTCTAACAGTGCAGAATACTAAGTATCTTACCACCTATTCTAAAATGTTAGAGGAGTTTGAAAATTTTGTCACAACTTTTTTTTTAAGGATCACAACTCCATACACTACTCCACTTGAAAACAAGCCAGGATTTTTCTACTTGCCAAAAACAATGAATTTTTACACCTTGCACCTTGCACCTCTGTCCTTTGAAACATATACAGCACCTTTACTCGTGTTCCTCTGCAAGTCTACACAGTCCATGTGCCAGACCCCTTTGATCTTTTCCAGTAGCTGGAATCATTAAGCTAAATCTCAAGTCTCAGTGAACAGTTTTTGATGTTAGGTTCTCTCCATGTATTAAAAATTTCCTCAAAGATTAAGGTTATTCCCACTGCCACAGGGAATGAATATGAGAAGAGAACAGAAAGAAGAGTGAAGAGAGCAAGAAAAATGGAAACAGGAGACTAGGTAATGAAAACATCAATATAAAAATTATTATTATCCCTTTAAACTCCTAATACTTTTCTATTTTTCAATCTACTGCCACCAGTAAAAACTTCTCTCTAAAATCTACTATGTCAAAGCCATAAAATATTTTTTTCCAAAATGTGCTTTGGAGACAGGTAGATGAACAAGCACTCTGTTACCAGAGCTCATCTCTATTTTCACATACTTGGATACATAGCCACAAAAACATAGGGGAAGAACTCAAATGCCTCAATCTATGAAAATAACCCTTAAAACAGATTTTACACCTCCTAGATATCTGTAGTAGTCCTTCTCAAGCGATGTTTGGGGAACCCATATTTTAGAATCAGCCATCCTTGGCAGGGATAAACATCATAATACCTACTGCTAACCCAGTAATACTCACAAGATTCACAACTTCATGGACCTACAAGCACAAGTAGATCAAATCTGTAGGAGTAAACTGGGTGTACCTAATGTCTCCTAGAAACACTGTGTGGGGTTATATATAACACTATATAACTCTATATCACTTTCATTTGAAAATGCTGCAGGCAGGTAGTTTGAGCCTTTTGCTCAATTATAGTCAATGCTTTCCATATTTCCTAACCACCTCAGTGGACTAGGATAGACCAGCATGGAAGTTTTTTCTAGCACTTCTGTTGAAATTTAGGAGATTTGAAAAAACAAGTCAATCTTTTGCTTGGAACTCATCCATGAAAAAACATCTAAATATATTTTATTATCACTATTAATGCTGTAATTTTGCTATTATCAATTTAATAAAGCTGTTCATTCTTCTAGAGTAGTTATTTTTATTAAATATATTGCCTAGGAAATCCAGAGAGTGGAACACTTGTATGAAATTGTTAAGTTTAGAGAACGTAGATCCTAATGACAA